GGGGCAGAAATGAGACAGATACATAGATAGAAACAACAATATTTAATGAATGAAATTCAATCAAAGAGTTTGTTAAGGGAAATCACTCATGACGTTTAGGCAAGCATCCAATTGCTTAGAAAGATTACGAATTCCGTCCGTAAAGAACGATATCGGCTGATCATGCAACCAGTTCAGAATAGAACTGATGGACACTTTGAAATTATGTGCGATGTCATGATTGTTTCGATGTCGATTTCCCTTGATTTTAGTGTCAATGCGCATACTCGGCTTTTCTGCCACAACTTCGTGCGCCGGATGGTGTCAGCGGTTAATTCTGCGTTTCCTGTTGACCGTCACTAAACATTCTCGCCAACCTCATAACCATGGTTTTCCAAACAGTATGTGGTGGCCGCGGTAGCCGAGTGGTATAGGTATCGGACCGTGGCTTGCCTTGTCACGAGTTCGAGCCCAGTACCACTAAAGACCCGCCGTGTAGGGCAGGCGATGCACGTTAAATCTGTCGAGAGCTGAAACGTCCTCCCGTTGGTGTGGTGTGGTAGTTAGGAGAGGGGTGCCAGCTCAGGTGTCGTCCACGTCACTTGACCATGGTTCAAAATGACGTGGTCCGTCGCCAAAAGCCCTCGTGTTGCTGAACAGTGCGACGTTAATATTCAATCAATCAACCAAACATATGTGTCACCGTACACAGCCTGCATTTTATGATGAATAGGGATTGCCCAATACCGGTATTTTGAGCCATTTGTACAATTTTTTAATGCCGGTATTCACAAGTTTAAATACCGTTTTTTTTTCGGTATTACTAGAATTCTTTAAATTGTCTCCACTATATATTTAGGGATCGTCAACATAGCAAAACAATTTGCGCTTTTGCTTTTATGTCAGCAAAACAAAAACATATACTATTTTGCTATAAGGGGACAAATTAATTAGCTAATAAAATTAGCTAAATAATAATAGCTTAATCAATTAGCATGCTATATTTCGCCTAGAGGACGAAATTAATTAGACTGGGAATACAAAGTTGTACAATCAAGAGAAATGATAAAATATGTGAATCATCCAATGAGGCGGGTCCAAACTATCCTATTACAGCTCAGAACGATACTGGCACGTGCAGGACTCATAGTCTTACGTTCGTATCTTTAAAAACAAGGTTGTAGTTGTGAAGAAAGTGAGTAATATTTCGATTTTTTTTTTTAATTGGGGAGTTTGTTATTCACATTGTATTTGCATATCATACTTTAGGGCTCAAAATATTTTTCAGATTCATTATTTTATATATATATATAATCTTAAATAACAACCCATAATAATGAATAAGAATAACTTTAAATAACATAAGAATCAGTTGATAATATATTTCGGTTTATTTATTATTTATATGATAAACCACAGATCACAGATTGAATAGTGGTATTTACACTTTTTTGTGATTTAAATAAATAAGATGTTCCTTTATTTTATTTTATTTTTTTGTTAATTTTTATATAATGTGTTATAAGTTACACATTATTTTTTGTGATAATTTACACTCTAATAAAACTGGCAAATAAAACAAAGACAAACTTTCTTTTTTTAAAATTTCTACTACCGGTATTAAAACCGGTATCCTGGTATTAAGACCAAAAATACCGTATACCGGTATTAAACTCTTAGTCCGATATTGCAATCCCTAATAATGAATATCCATCGGCTTGCAACCTTCCAATGTTAAAACTTTATTGCAGTTCACTGATCCGTTTTGGATGCAGTTACATCAATGCCAACTATTTTTAAATTAATGCCACGTTCTTACAAATGCAGTTACCACAAATCTTCTGGTACACGCGTGCGTGTTACATACATCTGCACTATCGCGTTTGTTTCACGAAAATACATTGAAAACTGTTTGTATGCGATGCTTCGAAACACTTCTAAAATCACACACGCCTCATATTTTTTCTTGGGTTCGCAGTTATAATAAAACAGAGCACTGTACATATAATCAAGCAGGGATACCAATTTTTCTTACAAGTGAATTGAAGAAATGTAGCAAAGTTGGAAAGAGAGAAAAAAACATGAGATAAAATTATTAAAAGTTTTTTAAACATTCTTAAGTAAACTGAATTAAGTGTTTTTAAAATTTAGATTGTCTAACAAAAATTAAAATCAAACCAAATTTTTCAAAAAAAATTATTTAGACAAAGATTTTAAGAAATTTTTAAAACTTTGTTTGGTCCAAAGAAATAATAAAATTAAATTTAAAAAAAAAAGAAATTTTTAAAAAAATATTTGAATTAAAATTTAAAATTAAAGTTCAAAATTAAAGAAAAAAAACAAGATAATTTTAAAATAAATTTAGAATGCTAAAATTAAAAAAATTAAAATTTTGATTCCGAAAAAGGCCCAATTCAAAAGGGCATTGATGTTTAAAAAAAATCAGTTTTGGAAAAAACAAAAATTTAATTAAAAAGTTAACCAAAAAAATTTTAATATTGTGCAATTTAAATGCCGCCAAAAGAAAACAATTTCTTTCTAAGGGGGATTCCTTTAATCAACACGAGGCCCCTTTTACAAACAATTTTTTTTACCGGTTTAGAATAGAATACAAAAATTTAAACGAAATTAAGGCTGGAAAGTTCGTTTTAAATATAAAAAGAGACTTTTTTACTTGGGCGCATACCAAAAATACCTTTCTTTTCATCGCACAAAAATTTTTTAAAAAAAACGAATTTAGAATAATAATAAATTCTCAGAAAATTCTAAATAGCTTAAAAATAATCTTTTTTCCTTCCTATATATTTTTCGATTTAATTTTTTTTTCCCAACATAAAATCATGAAAGAATGCATTCAAAAAAAATAATTTTCTTTGAAGCTAAAACGAATCTATTTTACCAAATCATCCAATTTCAACGTCCAATAAACGATTCGAAGACGAAACGGAAAATAAGCATCGGTGGAATACAATAAATAAGCGATAAAAAAATAAAGAATGCATTCTACCATTTTCTTTCATGATGTCTCTCGAAAAAATGATAATGGATTTGCCATGCCTTGCCTTTAAACATGCGGAAGGAAAAATTCTAAAAGAAAAAAAAATGTTGAAGTTTAGTCTCAGAGAACAAAAAGAGATTAAACGCCGCATTAATCGCGTTTCTGGAATGAACTCAAAAATCCATAAATAAATATGCAGATGAAGGAAGGACAAAACCATGGAAGAGAAGCTTTTAGTAAAGTGGAAGATATACAATAAACTACGGTTCTCTTCATTCCTAATGGAGTTTTGTTCTTGTGCTTCCATGTGCATTAAAGAAAATAGATACGTTTTAAAGAAAGAAGAATCCTTAATTGATATAAACGTATGTTGTGTGTAACATCTGAAAAAAAATGTAAAAATATTTCCTGCAAGCATAATTTTTTATGTTTGAGGCAAGTATTTTTGTAAAATACTTATATGTATGGTTTAAATAAATTGATTAGTATAAAATTAACTCAATAAACAATGTACGCCTGCCTGACCCTGATTAAAAAAGAATTTTACTTTTCTCTGATAAAGAAGTAAGATTCTTATTTGATGAAAAATACACCTTTTGCAAACAAATCGAAGCACCATGAAAAATTAATTGTTTTTAATGAAATTAAATAGTTGCACACTTCATACCAATAAATAATAAGAATATAAAATATCAAGGTCATAGGACCCATCCACGGTTCACGACACAGCCTAAATTTTCGCTAAATCAGTAGTTGTTGGAACTACCCTGGTGGTGAAACATGCTTGTATAATACGCGTTTCTGGTAAAGAGTGATAGGGGTTCATAATTCTCTTGTAATATATTTGCGACATAGCCACGTTCGATAGCTATGTCGTTTCCGCTTAAGTTAGAGGTGTGGATATCTCTCGAATGATGAGATATTTATAATTTTAATATGACTTTTATTAAGAATTTAACTTAAATTACTTAGAGATATCGAACACACAAACTTATATTAAGTGAGAATAAACCCCAAAGTACGCAGTTTTAACTAACTCAGATCAAAAAGCAATTTATTCACTTATCAATATAAATATATTAGATCCGCCTAATTGTTTCAATAATATACTAGTGTTCAGAATATATTCTCCCTACCTTGGCTGAATACTCAATGTCCAGGCTAATCTAAATCTTTTCTCCTAGGATAGTACAATGGTATGTACTCAGGCGATTTTCATGAGGTGGGCGTCTTGATTCTAAGCCGTCGATCCACACACTCCCCTATCTTTCCGAGCTGAGCTTTCTAAATTGCCATCCTTGCTCACTAAACTTTCTATCCTTTTTAGTTGCTATCTTATTTGCATCTATGCTTGCTTCACTTCTTGGACGGTTGGAAAAGTTTGCTATTAATCGTGGCCGTCAAAGAACGTAGATGTTATGTTAGAAGAAGAACGCGAGAGATGTCACACATTCACTCAGGCATTCACCAGTTGCTGCTTTGGATCTGCGATATTTTGCTGCCCAAATTTGGCGACCTTACCTTGTTCTAGACAAAAAAAGGTCTGGAAAATGTATTATTTCCATCGTAGTTTGTCGCGGCCGCTGTATTATTTTGTGTTGAGTGAAATTTCTTCTTAAGCGTTTTCGCGTTAAACGTATTTTACTGTATTTTTTGGCAGCCATTCGCTTACACCATCTTGGACGACCACAGGATTTCTATTTCTAAAACGGAAGCACATTTATATATCAGTTAGGCTTTCCGCGATGTCGATTTCCACAAACCCAACTTATAGCGAATCTCTACTTAACAAAAGAAATACCTTAGACAAATTTCAAATCACTAGGTCTAATGGTTCCCAAACGGATATAATTGAAGTTATGCTTCCTTTGGGGCGTTAGAGAAATAGAATGAGGGTAAATTTTTACGATGCATGCGCACACAGTCACGGATGCGAAAACGCTATGTCTAGAAATATACAGAACGGGACAGATCATTTCCGCCTTCGAAATTCTCAGAAAAATATTTCTGTTCATTTCCCTCAAGGAGATATCCGAGTTGGAACCGGAGACCTCTCGATCTGCAGTCGAATGCCGTTCCATTGAGCTATGTACACCAAGCAAGCCAGCGAACTCTTGTTTTATGTCTGTAGAACGGATGCGAAAAATGCTTTATCTAGAAGTATACAGATCGGGACAAATCATTCCCTTCTTCGAAATTCTCAAAAAAATATTTGTTTTCACTTCCTGAAGAAGGCACCTGGGTTTGAACGTAACCGGGGACCTCTCGATCTGCAGTCGAATGTTTCTAATTACTGAGCTATACTTTCGTCAGCAAACTCCTTTTTGTTTATGTCTGCAGGAACGGTTACGAAAATGCTTTGTCTAGAAATATACAGAACGGGACAGATCATTCCCACCTTCCACAGTTCGGCCTACCCCCTCATGTTAGTGGTCATATTGTCCCTGTACGGGGGTGTTTAAAATTATTTAAATTGTGATTATCTCGGTTTTGGCTGGTCCGATTAACTAAAGAGGTTAATACCTTTCAACTCTGCTCGTTAACGCCTTTCATCCTTGGCCCAGCTTGCCCTGCTAAAGATTTTAGAAATATTTTAATCTAGTTACGTCAAAGAAGTATATAACTTCTGATGTGTGCGTACATGAGTACAATACTACCACATTCTTTTTTTATCTGTAAATCCTCGCACCCCACTCCCCCCTTTGGAAGTCGATCTCCACAAAATCCATTCTAATTTGAACTCGACTCAATAAAAGAGGCATTCTTACCGAATTACAAGTCTGTATGTAAAACATATAAAACAAAATTGGTTATAACTCATTGCAGCTTCCTATATATTTGATTTCCCAAATCCCTTTCTTAAGGGATCTCTATACCAGTGAAAGAAAAATGTGCCTGTCAACCCCAAGTCTGTAGGATTATATAGTTCTAGAAACTAGTGATGAGTGTGAGAATCCTTCTATATATATATATATATATATATATATATATATATATATATATATATATATATATATATGCGTATATATATATATATATATTGGGTTGTTCGGAAAGTCATTTCTGTTTTTTTGGGAACATGAAAGACAGTTTTTGTATAATGAATAAATATTTTATTAAATTATATATTGGCCATTCTGGTCCAACACCTTTTGCCATCATCTTCTTCTGGCAGTAACATAATTCCCTCTCATAAAGTTTTGGTCCTTGCTGGAAAACTGGTTCAGGTGGTTTTTTGGACATCTTCATTTGAGTAAAATGCTGGGTTTTGCCATCCAAAAACATTTTGCAGGGACCGGAACAAATAGTAGTCGAAGGCGCCAGATTCGAGAGAATATGGTGGCTGCTGCAGTACGTCCCATTCAAGCTGTAAAGCTTTTGGCGAGTGACCAAACTTGTGTGAGGTCCTCGCATTATCCTGGTGGAACACTACACCTTCCCAAGTTGATTAATTTGGCCTTTCTCTTTTAAGTGAATCATTCAATTTGTCCAGCTGATGACAATAGATCTCTGAATTACCGTTGTATTGTCCGGCAAAAGCTAAAAAAAAACGATTCCTTTGACATCCCACCAAACGGAGAGAGCATCACCTTTTTTGGTAAAAGTTGGCTTTTGACACGCTTTGAGCCGGTTCATCTTTTTCGCTCCATGACTTGCGTTTAACATTGTTGTATACAACCCATTTTTCGTCCCCAGTAATAATCCGCTTCCAAAAGCGCGACGACACAAATTTCGCCTGTAAGGACATGGGCACCCACACATCGAGCCGAGGTTAAGCCCATGCCTTCAAATGGCCATAACAGTCGAATTCGACAAATTTAATCTCACCGATCTCTCGTGTGGTTATTCGCCGATTTGCATCAATCCACGCCTTTATCGCATCTTTGTCAGCTTCTCGACCGGCCTTCCAGACCGTGGTGCATCTTCGACATCAAAACTGCCTGCTGATCGAAATTTTGCAAACCAGTTCTGGCACTGGCGTACTGTTAATACGCCTTCCATACACATCCGTCAATTTTTCGCTTGGACAGCATTTTACCTTTTCTGAAGTAAAAAAGTATAATATGACGAAAAATGTGCTGCTTATTGCTCTCCATATTTAAAAGGGCACCAACTTCAAAAACTACTGCGTAGAATTAATAGAACTTTTTCACACACAAGCCTTGCAATATCAGCTCAAGACATATAATGGTTATGCGGTTTAAGTGTGAAGTTGGTTTCGAAAAAACGTAATTAAGTCCTCTGACGGGAAAAAACGAAATTACTTTCCGAACAACCCTATATATGTATCATAATTTAGCATAGCGTAAAGACTTCTTTAACGACCATCATATTTTAGATAGTTATTGTAGTTTTGAGAGGTTACTGCAGTGTTTCTCAAAGTTGCAATACTCGCGATCCAATATTCCATCATAATTTTCATTGGCCCCACCCTCATACAATAACAATGTACTGAATTCAATAATACTATACTTTGACGTTAAAAACTACGATACGACTTTAACCTTGTGACAACCCCTGTGTATATATAAACGTCTTTGCAAGGCCAAAACATTTATTTCTCCGTGACGTATATATACGTCTTTCATGAAGTACGATATTTTCTAGGCACTGCTATCCGTAAAGCTATTCCGAAAAATTTGTGAATGCAATAAAATGACCTTGACGATGTTTGGTGAAGGATTTACTTCTATTCCAGATTATTTTTACTTCTTTATTCTTCCCCAGCCCTCCTCCTTTAATACCAATATACGCGTGCCAACGTGGAGAACGGTTGGCATTTGGAAGCGAATCGCGAAACTTTTGATCGGCACAGTCAAGGTTTAATTATAAAACGTACAAAAATGATCAAGATAAGTGTTAATTTTTGTTTTAAATTATATATATGACAAGCCCATGGAGTCACTGGTAATTAATAAACTTGTTTTTAACTTAGTATTGTTAAATTAATTATAAAATACATTGTGCGGTACTGATACATTTATGAGGGGAGTGCAAATGTGTGTTTTATATTTTATTATATGTTAGAATGTATTTTATTTGTTTACTTTCAGTAAATTAATAATATTTTTTAAATAATCTTTTGTTCTTGGCTTTTCAATATGCTCGCCCCCCCCCTCCTGTAGTAGAGTTTTCATGCCCCCTAAGGGGGCGCGCCCCACAGTTTGAGAAACGCTGAGTTACTGACAAGACAGTCCTTTGTGGATAATTAATCCTGTTTTTTCAACATGAATACTTACACGATCATACACATCTTAAACATAACACTTATTGCAGAAAACACACAGCACTAAAAGCCTCACGTGTTACATTTTGATAAAGACAAAAGGACGAAAAGGCGTAGAAGTGCCGATTTTCCAAAATCTAGGTTTATATACGCGATGCGCCAAACGGAAGGGCAATTTACATGGCATACGTGGATAGAGCTTTTTAATTGGGAGGAAAATATTGGTCGAAAACTTCCCGTTGGGTTCTTAGCTAGATATTATTTACGCGCGAATCCTGAAGGTCAAGACCATTACAAATTAAGAAGTTGTTTAGAGGAATTAAAGTGAATTATAACATTGGTGTATATATATATATATATATATATATATATTATATAGTTTATATTAATATATATATACATTACTATAAACTTAAATATTTCTCTTAAGTTATAGTTATCTCCATAATCTACTATTAGAAAATTACTTATTATTATTTTTATTCATATTTATACTCTAGTGTTATTTAAGTTATGCTATAATTTGCAACTCTTATTAATTTTTATTTCCATTCTTTGTATACTTTTGTTAAGTGCTACATTTCAGCCCTTCACGTGATTTAAATCTGCATTAGGAACCAGAATCTGGCATTAACTTATTTATTGCACTCAGATTTAGTTCGGGCTCTGCATAAAAGTGCAATTTTTAGGTAAGTTACCTCTATCTTGTAATGGATTTAAATATTCCTATCCATTATTTTCTATTGGATTTGCCTGCGTTATTTTACATAGCGGGGAAGTTGGCTGGCCAAAACATGTTTAACCCCTCTTTATTTAAATTATTTTATATATTAGCTGACCTAAGTCAGCAATGTCTATAACACTGCAGCATCCATTTTATAATTTTTAATCTTGGTTACTCATATGTCCTTCATTATGAGATTTTCCTACTGTCTATGTGTTTTGCGAATGTGATTGTCGAATGTTATCTCTTGTTTGTAGAGAATAAGCGTGTGTGTGTGTGTGTGTGTGTGTGTGTGTGTGTGTGTGTGTGTGTGTGTGTGTGTGTGTGTGTGTGTGTGTAAATATTTCCTCAGAACAGACCAAAACACAAATCCTTACAAGTATTCTAACATTTTGAATATGTTTTGGTAGTATTTTAAGTTTTCGAATATGTTGAATAATTTTTTATTAAAATCTCTATTAATTCTAAAGAAACATGTAAACTACAGCATTTTTTTCAAAAAAATTATAATTCCTTTCATCTTCATTGTTTATTTTTACGGAAATACTGCATTTCTTAGAATAATGCAATATGTTTAGTTATTCTAATATTATAAATTCTAGCTGTAATAAATTATAAGTAAATATTATAATATTGCGAAAAATATATTTTAAAAACATTCATCTACTATAATTTATTTTATTAAATAATAACAATACGTATTTATAAAAATGGATTGTTAAATGGTTGGACACACAACTCATTTATAGTTATTTTTCATTCCAAAGAAAAACAAAAATCTTATATTCTAAAATGCCTGAACTGATGACTTATGACTTTCACTATTTTACGGTTACCAGAACAATTTTTTTTTAAAAAAATCTTGCATGAGAGTACACTTCATGACAGACTAGATTTAGAATTTTTTCTCACTAGTACAGAGGAAAAAGTGTTGGACAAGAAGAAAAAATCTTGACAGTCCAAATATCTTTCAGCGGCTGTAAAACTAGTTTTCTATATTAGATAAGTTTTGAGTTTTTTTCCCGTCACCGACTTCTAGTTTGCTCTGCTTGATTAAAGTTCTCGCTGTGGTTTTTTCAGGTATGTTTTTTAGAATGAATTTCGTTTGACTTACAGCTGTGAGGTCAGAACTTTTGAATGACACTTTTTTTAAAAATAAAAAAATGGCGATTACTTAAAACGATAGCGAAGATTACTAATGAATCCCTTATAGGTAATTTTAAAGCCGAAACATTTATTCAGCCACTTTTTTCACTAAGTAGTGAGAGCAGAATGCAGTCCACTTAGTCTTTTCATCTCCTTTTGGTCCTTCCCTTTGGTCTTTTATTAGAGACACTTGCATTAATAATTTTCAATG